TGTAAAGCAGTCTCGACTGTATTTAATAACAGTAGTTTAGTCTACCTAGGCTAGAGGTCGCCGCTCTCGGTACTTGCTTCGCAAGTCGCTATCCGACACAGAGATATCTATGATGTCGGTCGGATAGTAGCATTTAGACCATACGAGAAGTTTCATACCTCTCACCACTACTCAATTTACCTTAGTTAGTATATGACTAGCAGGTTGGCCACTATCATTAGTATCACTTGTCTGTTCACTCTCACTGGTATTAAGGCCTATGATGTATCCTCTTATGTTATTATAACAGGCCTGTTAAAACTCTTATCCAATCAAAAATTGCCTTTTTGAAATATCTTTATTTCTGATTGGCTATAACTCTTAATAACTCTGTTATTATAACGTTAGAGGAGGTCGTAGCCATACTGTGTAATTTTGTTTAGATATTAAGGATATTACCTATATTCTGTGTTTTTATTTGTAGAATTATATTTGTTTTTAGTTTTCTACTTCTGTTTATTTTTTGCTTTCCCATTTCTGTTTGTTTCATATTTGAAATATATGTAACATATATTCATATTTCCATTTTTCATCTAATTAATACAAACTCAATCTTAAAAATGTCCGCCTTTACAAATTAGAATACTCGACAACCTTACGTAAAAAGTTCTGTATTTGTATTATAAAAATAAACATAGTAATAACTACTTAAATGAATACATCTGAATAATTAAAAATTATTATTCATGTGTCTTTTTAGAACGTTGTGGGCAACACGTAAGATACATTATTGGACGGACGTACCTAAGAGATTCTAAATATATTCGTACAAGAACAAGATTTAAACTAATATACATAAATACGCATGTACAATTGCAATTTATTTTTTGGACGTTTATAGAACGTCTGGTGCTGGGGAATATACATATGGGAATATGTCACAAATTAATTGTTTTATCATTTTCAGCCGTTCAAAAAATATCTGTTAATGAGCTTACTTTACATTAAGTACACAAAAATAATTGTTTTGCATAATTTCGGGAGTAGTTTACGGTGATTGAATTTTACAAAAACAGACCTCCGCCACACTCGCTCTCTGAAATAGAAACTGCACCGTTTTTAGCAGTTTCAAATAATCGCAATGGATCGTTTAATACACGAGGATCATGTTGCCTACTCTCCCCTGTTATTAACATCAACGAATCATGTTTTAAAAACAGATTCTCAATGGACAAACAAACATTATCAGTGAGTTTTTCAACACGTGTAAATTTACACGTGAATTTATATTCATTTCGAAGACAATAGATCTAAAGCAGAAATGTTTTTAATTATTTAGTTTTTTTCACGTTTCACATCAGTCTGTTAATTTCTCTGTATGGGAAATGAAACCAAAACGATGGAAAGATAAATATAAAATTTAATTTAAAAAAAGTATATTTACAGTGGATATTTAAAAGAATGTTCCAACTCGCAATTGCATGTCAGATATACTGCTTTCCAAAAAAATTGCAACAGAGAATGTATGAAAATAATTTGTTCAAAGTTTTACAGCAGAGCAAATAGGGAAGATTTCCTAATATTGGACCAGGGCCTAAATTGTACCACCTAAATTTCTCCGGAATTAGAACTGCTATCGACATGCTTCATTATAATTAAACAATAACAAAATTGTACACTTTACATAAATTTCAAATATTTGGGGTGTTCCTAAGCTGACTAATAATTGTTGTGTATGTGCGTGGCAAATCGTTGTAAATTTTGCTTCTCAGATGTAAGTAATTTTCTCATTTATGTTATTGTGTAATTTTATTAATCAGCATGAAATAAATGAACATTTTGATTATTTCAATTTTCTTTTGCAGTATAAGATCAGGTTAGAAATAAACAGTGCTAGTTGCCTAATATATACCACCCTATGGTTTCTCAAAATGTACCGGTCTGATTTAGGAAACCCGCTGGTATAATTCGGAAATTTCGGCGACTTCTACATATACTTTAAACGTTATTTTACTCCCTTAGATGGAATTAAAAACTAAAACAAAAGTGTATATTACAAATGGTCTGAAGAGAATCTTCAATGAGTTATCATTGTCCATAAATAGGGAAAGATGAATGCTGTCTTCAAATTAAAATTCCCAAACCAAATTTTAAAAGATATGGTTCAAATTCAAACAAATATGCAAAGGTAACAAAAAAGATCTTAAAAATCATATTCTGAATATGTTTGGACGCACACTCACAGATTAAGAAGCCTTGCATATCAAATTGCAGAAATAAATGGCGTCTAGTATGCATTTAGTCAATCCGAAAAAAATTGCTGAAAAAAATTGTATTATGGTCTCAAGTTATCATTACGCCAACCGGTGGCTACTTCAATGGTATGAGCAAAGGGTTTTAACCATGAAAACGTTTACGAATTTTTTTACTTGTATGAGAAATTCGTCGAAGAAAACCAGCCAGACGAAACGCGAATAATCAATGCAGTTGAATGGGATTGTCCAAAAAAAGATAAAAAGAAGTTGTAGGCTGTAAAAAAACGAATTGGAGGAATCTCAAGTGGAGATAAAGGCATTAACACAACAATTGTCTGATGTGTGAGTGTAAAGAAAAGCCACACAACAAACGTTTCGTAAATATGTAGCCTATATCCCAAAAATTTCGTTACAATTCAGCTGCAAAAGCATTCTGACAGCTTTGATATGACGAGGACACATTAAGCCGGGTACTCATATGCGCTCCGTATCTGTATCTGTATCATGTATTGTAACAGTTACGGTATCAGTTCGGTGTATGTACGCCTAGGCGAATAGTCGACGTAACGACCTGCGGTCATCTTGACCCGCAGTGTTCGAAGCAAGTTCACAGCAACATGTCGTCTCCAGAAGTATTCCGTCTCATGCAGTGTTTCGATACATGATCGGAACACTGACACGCACTGACTTGCGTTCCAGCTACGAACCGTCCACAACACTGGACCGTTCCTCTTGTAACAGTTACGGTATCAGTTCGCTGTATGTACGCTTAGGCTAATAGTCGACGTAACGACCTGCGATCATCTTGACCCGCAGTGTTCGAAGCAAGTTCACAGCAACATGTCGTCTCCAGAAATATTCCGTCTCATGCAGTGTTTCGATACATGATCGGAACACTGACACGTACTGACTTGCGTTCCAGCTACGAACCGTCCACAACACTGGACCGTTCCTCTTTGTGTTCGCGGCGTTTACCGACAGGCGCTCGGATCGCTCTTCATGTTCTTAGTAAGTTCGCGAACATGGAACGCAAGACGTACACATTCAAAATTTTGTTACAGTATCCGTTAAAATACATGATACAAATACAGATACGGAGCGCATATGAGTACCCGGCTTTAGGTTTGACATTGATAAACACTTTTTTTGTTGCGTTCTGACGATCCAACATGAAGCCTCCGGTTTTTAATTTCTGTAATATGTTGACCTTTCTTTAATCTGCTACCTTCAGCTGTAAATGCCAATATACATCCACAAATGCGGAATAAATAGTTTGAACTGCCAAACAGTATTTTTCTTTCTCGTGTAGTATATAATGCAACCAAAAGTCCCAATTATTTGTTACAGTTGCTGTTGAGCTGTTGCAGTAGATGTGAAAGGCATGCCATAGCTGGTCTAGATATGCAAATAGCATTTGCAGTCATTTGGCTCTATAATTATGTTGCAGTAACGTGATTGCAGTAAAAGTATTTGAAATGATTTTTTTATAATTTTATTTAGTAGAAGTAGTAAAATAATGTTTATTAACCCAAAATAAATTTTGCATTATATACAGGGTTATCCTCTAAAAGGCTTTGAGATTTTAAAACCAAATTACAGCTAAATGACGGTTATCTCAAAGTTTTCTCAGCCAAAAAATGTAGCTGTGAAAACTTTATAGACCACACGAATTTTATTATGCATTATACGCATTATTACTGTTTATTGCATTTTTGTGTTAATGTCGTTAAAATCTGTTATTCTTTTAAAATAATTAAGGTCCAGAACTTTATTTTCAACTCTATTTGGGCATTTTTTCTCTGTGTTTTTTAATGTTATAACCATGCTTAGCCAACTTAATGACTTGAAAATTGATTTTTTTCCACTGCTAAAATCACATTTCGTTTTCAATTTTGCTTATTATAAACTGATACGTGTGGATAAGTTTGGATACTTAGTGTCAAAAAATCGCACACTTCACTCCACGTTCTCTACTAATTCATCATATATACATATCAACACTATCGTGAAGGAAGAAAAAACATTTTTAAAAATATAAATTTATTTATTTCAATTATTAATAGCATTATTGTTTTTCTTAAATAATTTTTTTTTTTTTTAGTAAATTAAAATGAAAGTTACTAATGAGAAAGCATTATAAGACACTATTAGTTGATACGTAGTCGGTATAATCGGATAAAAATAAAAGATGGTTATTTTCACTTTGTCGACGTTTCGATTAAATATTTAATCTTCTTCAGGACTTAAATATTTAATCGAAACGTCGATAAAATGAAAATAACCATCTTTTATTTTTATCCGATTATACCGACTACGTATCAACTAATATATACATACGGATACTATTATTCTATTTGATTATAAGACACGTCCATTGATTAATGAAATCTGTATAGGTGGAATTTCTGCGAAATTTAACCTTTCATATCAGAATGTTGCTTGTGGCATTCCCTTAATTTCCTTTTTCCTTCTTCGGACTTATTAAAACCTGAATAATTCTTCTATCATTGAATGATATTAAATAAATATGATTATCGAGTATCTAAACCGGAAGAAACATCTGCACCTGTAACTTAAAAAGTTTTAAAATGTTTTCTTAACCGCCTCTCAAGTCATCGAAGTAACCCGGGGGAAATCCTAGAATTTTTGTGTGGGTAAAGAAATACGAAGCTTTACAGTTTATTGTGGAGTGCCAACCACATCCAGGGCAATGACGACTTCTTCTCCCATCTTAGACCGAACAAGATACAAATAAAATTTCAAACTTGCTCCAGGATGGAATCGAACCATCGACCTACGGGACCGAGTAAATAGCTATAAGCGCTTTATCCCCTCAGCTACTATGCTCTCTATCACAAAGGAACAATCAGAGAGTGTTTTTTCACAACTGGTATAAACAAAAAATTATAAAATATGTGATCCAAATTGCCCGCTCAACTCTCATATTTTCAAAACAACTTTTGTCACAAGATTGCACCCGTGCTTTTCCTTTTTGTGCACCATAATGAATGGCTAGTACTTCATGTCTTGATTACTAACTATTACTGGGATCGAATGAAACTGATTGTTTTAAGGGCAGAACACATATGCGAGATCTAAACCACGATAGCGGTGGCGATCGCGATGCATGTGCAGATCACTTGATTACTAAAGACGCGTCCAATCGCTAACGCCATCGCTGTCGCGATCAAGGTCGTGGTCGCGTATATCTGTTCTCCCCTTCATGGATTACCATATAATAATTAAAATTCAAAACTGGAGTTTCTCAAAAAAAAAACTATTTTCCACCACTAATAAAAAAGGTATCGCCTTTAAAGACAGGGGAAGTAATTATATTCGAGTCAAATTTATAGCTTTTTACAGGACACCATTTGAAGAACCTGAACCCGAACCTAAACCCACTTGGGTCGCTGAATATAAAGTTAGAGAGTAACTAATAATGAATGGCAAATAATGAACGCCGTAGGTGAAATATAAGTGTTATGATTTTTATAATCTTAAGATACCGACCCTGTCAGAAGTTAAAATAAAATATGTTGGTAATGGTGTAAAAAGAAAAAGAAAGAGGATGAAGAAAATAGAGGGTCAGACTAGCTGGGGGAGGTTACGTTGTGGATGTTTTTATGTGACTGGTATCTTTGGGTAGAAATAAAAATAGTAATAAATATTGAAGTATATTTATTGTGTAAGCGAGGTCGTTTTAACATAAGGCAATAAATAATAGTGTTTTATATATTATAATTTTTTCGGGTAGCAGCCAACCATTTATCCTACCAAAGTTTACTTATTTTTTATTTAGTAAACTTTGCCTATGTATACGGATAATTGTGTTTGGAACCTGGAGAAAGAATAAACATTTCAATTAAGTACGAAAATACTGCCTTTGACGTATTTATATTAAATACATTTAACATTTCTATCGGCAATATTATTTAAAAACCAAGCATAGCAACCTTAATGTCTTATCCTAGTATAAGCTTGAACACAATAACAACACCAATTTATTATATTCACCTTTATTTTAATTTGGAAACTTCACATTACAAACATTAACAGAATAACAATTTTCTAACGCAGTCTCATGAGTCATGAATCAATCTATGTAATAATCCCAATAAAAACTCCCCAGCCTCTCGCCACCCAAGCCAGAATATTGCTGACATTAACCTACTGAGCACGTTGAAGAAGAAAACAATATTAATTACCTACTGTATTGGGTGTTCTTCTATTTCCTACACTAGGTGTTATCAATGAAAATTTGTAAAGGCGGCAATATTCTGCTGCTAGTTTTCTAATTTAAAACTTAATAAAAATTTTAGAAACCTTAAATAGAATCCATTTTAAAGTCACCAAGTAAGCACAATGTGTATTTAAAAACTTGTTTATAGAAGAATCTTTTGCGATCATATATGTAATTGTAAATGCCGGAAAACTACTGTATTAAATTGTGTAATACCGCTTACATAAAGAAAATGACAACTCTCATAAAATAAAGAAGAAAAGTAGAAAAAGTACAAAATATATGATTTCCAAAAATATATCTAATTTTTTTATGTATTTCATATAGAAATTTATTAAACATATTAGGAGGTTATAATATTTTAAAACCTAAGATCATCCTCTAAAAACATAAAAATGTCCTGTAAAATATTACAATCATAGCCAGAAGTTATAACATTTATAATGGTGTCATATGTATAACGTGACACCATATACCATCTATGTATATATATATATATATATATATATATATATATATATATATATATATATATATATATATATATATATATATATATATATATATATATATATATATATATATATATATATATATATATATATATTACTTCCAAACAGCAAGATTCAATCAATAACAAACAATAAATTATACGAACGCAATCAACCAACCGACCGACAGCCCGTGACCAAAATCTATTTTATCGTATTTTCCCATTCTCCGCTGCTGCGCAGGCCGGCCAAAAGATATGTCGCTTTTATGGCATGAGGGCGCACGCGCACAGAAGTATTTTCAATACTAAAAAATACATGTTTTTAAGTCACATTTTATAAATATAATATATGCAATTTATTCTGAAAAGGCAGTGATTTTTTTTTTTTTTGAAGATTAGAATAAAATATATGTATTTAATTAATTTAATCCAAATAAATATTTAGCATTTATAAATAGTAATAAATACTCAAAGTAATACTTAAATACAAGGTACATTTGTATCATACAAAGAGAAGTGATTAAGCTTAACCTCAACAACCTGAAACCGGTCTGCGAATGGTATACGCGACGACCTTAAGAAGGATTTCCATTTATTTTGTAAAAATTTTTGATACTAAACAATTGCAATTAAAGCTCAATCACTTCTCTTTGTATGATAAAAATTTATAAAGCATCAAGAAGTGTGTGTTTGTGTGTGTGTGTGTATGTGTGGTAACTTTATTTAATCTTCAATTAAATAAAGTGAGAAGATTACTACTGTGATACCTTGTATTTAGGTATTACTTCGGTCCTAGCTTGGCACTTTGGCGGTAATATCGCTAGTGTGGGACGGAGACGAGCCAAACCGCTTTACATTGAAAGGGTGGGGTTTAGATCATTGCGCATCCAAGCTCAAATGCCATGCTAGGATAATATTTGATATGACAAAAGCTTTTTATTCTTTAGATATTAATGCTTAATTGCAAAATTAAGTTATTATGGCATATCTGGGAGTACTTTTTCTTGGTTTCAAAACTATCTCCATGGCATACAACAGTTTACTAGTGTGAATACAGGAAACTCAATAAAAATATCACAATATAGATCAGTTGAACCCGGTGTTACGCAAGGATCTATTTTGGGACCACTTCTCTTTAATATATTTATTGCAGATATATCGAGACTTCAGCTACATTCAAAACTATACATGTATGCTGATGATATTCAGCTGATATATAGTTTTTCTGCTGCGGAATGTCAAATTGCTGAACTTCACATAAATAATGATTTAAGTCTCATATATGAATGGATAGTCCAAAATACTCTTAAATTAAATGCTAACAAAAGTCAAAATATTGTTTGTGCAACTCCCCCAGCAGTTATTGAATCTCGGCGAACTTAATATTCTAGTAAATAATGAAGTCATTGCATCAGCCAATTGTGTCAAAAATCTTGGTGTCCAATTTGATTCTCTACTAAGCTTTTCAAATCAGGTAAACACTATTTGCAAAAAATCTTTTTATTGTTTAAAACAGTTAAATTCATTTAAAAAATATTTTAACACAATTACTAAAATATTTCTTTCTGAAACTATGGTTCTATCGCATTTAAACTACGCAGACATCGTATCCGGTCCCTGTCTTTCACAGGATGACAAATATCGAATACAAAAAATTGAAAACTGCTGTGTACGATATTTTACAACTGTGCCCGATATGGTCATATTACTCCGCACTGACGTGCCTTCAGTTTATTGAATATGTGTAAAAGGAGATTTATATACAATGTGGGATTTGTTTTAGGTGTTTTGAGAACAGAAGAACTAAGTTATTTGTTTAATAAAATACAACAGTGCACTGTAATTCTCAATAGAGATAGATCTTAGACAAATTGAAAATAAAATTTGTATTCCCGCTTACGAAAATTCATCTTTTCAATCTTCCATTTCATTCATAGCAACATATATTTTTAATAATTTGCCAATCCAATATCACAACATATCGGTATCAACGGTTAAATCTAAATTAAAAGAAGACATAATTTTATCTAGATTAGAAAATGTTAATGTACTAATGTTCTAAATTAAAAGGGCTTTTTTTATTTGTTTTCATTGCATGCTAATATATTATACATGTATATTTTTGTACACGGGAAGTAAAACCACACCGTTGATATACTTCCTTTTGGAAAAAATTTCATGTCTGTATTTGTACTGCTGGTTTTTTTTTCCAATAAACGTATTGTATTGTATATTTTATTTGTAAAAGGATTACGACTTACATTGTATTTAGATATTACTTTGAGTATTTATTACTATTTATAAATCTCACCGCTCTATTGGAATATTTTGGTATTTTAATTTTATCATAACTTAAAGTAAAGATCGCTTCAATAAGTTTCTAGACAAATTATTCACGAATTATTTCATAAAGTTGAAGTATTTAATTTACCCATCCCTTCTATTTAAATACATTTTTTAAGAAAGGACGGCTGGCATCGGTTATCAATACAAAGCGCGCGTAATTCTAAATTACATTTTTCTTGACTACGAGATCTGCTTATAAATATTGTTTTAAACCTTCCTCTATCCATTGTAACTATTTTCGTAGTTTATTTATCCGTATATGCACCGTCCGTCTACTGCCCTCGCTTCCCATGTAGGCGAAACGTACGGCCACGAATTTACAGTTACGGGATACAATTATCCCAAGCCCACTTTTGAAATTTTACGAATTTTGAAATACACTGCTAAACATATTTAATACAAAAATATTTGTGATGTTAAAATTTAATCTCTACGTATAAAAAAGTAATATAAATAATATGTTGATACCTCCAATGAAAGGTAACAATTATTAACTATAAATATTACTATTTACCTTCAAAGATCGAAAAGTTTGTTTGTAATTTTAATTGGATTGGTTTTTATAATTGTTACTTATTTTCTACATGTGTATCAACAATTAAATAAATATAATAAATAAAATAATGACAGGAAGACCAATATAATTACTAACTTTGCAACCTTCTTCGATATTCAACAACATAACAAAATACTCAATAATTTAGGCCGTTTCCGCGATTTTGTTTTCTCGAATCTAAAGTATGAAATTCTACACGATAATGCGCCAC